CGGGCTCACTATTTAAGCCCAGATTCTACTCACTCGCGTCGCGGAAAAGAGTTGAAGTTGTAGTCTTGCTAGTTGGGGCGGACATTTGTTGGTCATTATGGCTATGCAAGAATGATTTGGTGCTTCAAAGGGCCTGTTCGTTAGTTGGTGCTGGTGCTGATTTGGGCTGGCTGGTGCTGGTTTTTTTGTAAGAGGAAAACATCTGACTGGTTTGAGCTGGCTGAAACCAATAAACGAACAGGCTGAAAGACTTAGATTGCAAATTTTTACAATCTAGACACTGTAGCACGTTTCGTTTGTATTTGACAAACTTTATCCGATCATAGACTAACTAGGCTCAAAAGATCCATCTCGTGATTTACAACCAAACTGTGTAATTAGTTTTTTTTTACCTATATTTAATGCTCCATATATGTGTCCAAAAATTAATGTGATAAAAAAAAAAGTAAAAAAACTTAGAATTTGGAGGTGATCTAAACAAGGCCCAGGTTATTGTTTCATCTATCCGTAGTTGGGCTATATTACAGAAGCGGGCCTCCCGAGATTTGGTTTTAATGGTATGTCACCGATTGGCACAGGTGGCCGGAGGCAAATTCTGAGAGACCCACCCTTTCTCTGACCTGAAAGATCTCCTTTCTATGGCCATGTACTTTGATACTATGCAAAAAAAAAATTCCGTCACATTAAACTTGTGCTATATGTATGAAGTACTAAATATTGACAAAATAAAAAACTAATTGCACAGTTTGGTTGTACTTTGCGAGACGAACGTTTTGAGCCTAATTAGTCAACGATTGGATAATTATTACCAAATAAAAACAAAATGTCACTGTAGCTACAGTGTTCGTCGAGTTTCAGTTCCGGCGACTAGACACGGCCTATGTGACACATGGCATATATCACAATCTTAAAACAAGCTCCTACCCACTTTCGTCTTCGTCGAGTTTCAGTTCCGACACCGTTAGTATATATACCTCACTCCGTGAACGGCACGCGTTGTCTTCCGTCAGAAGCCACGAAAGATCTGTGCAGGGCGATTAAGCGAAGCGGACCTTGCCACGACACCGGCAGATCAAGACATTCATGGGCCGCTCAGTCAGGGCCTTGTCGCTTCCCCAAGTCTGCAATTGCGATGTCGACACGAGAAAACGCCACAGCACGGTCTCCACATGGCAGAGCTCGAGCGGCTCTGTCGCGGGGGCGCCCCGCTGCTCTAGCTGTCCGCCGTGAACCGTGATCGGGGACGACGCTGCAAGCACAAAGGACCACCCGCTGCTCCACTATCACCACCACCACCACCTGCCGACGCCGGCCTCGGCGTTCGAAGCCGCCGCAGGCGCGCGCGATTGCTCGCAGCTACTGGCCCTAGCGAATCGGCCGCCACCAGGCCCAGTCTGCATCCTCCACCCGATGATGCGCTTAATTGGGCAACCATTTGTAACACCACTTGTCGATGTTGATCCTTTCTCCTTTGTGACATTGTTGCCTTCTGGAAATTTCAGTTGTTTGATTTTGGGTTAGCAAAGCAAGCGTCAGCTTCAACTTCCTTGCAAACATGTACCGACATCACTAGAACCTTTTGGGTCTGTATTATCTCAGGGCTTTGGTTAGCTGTTATATTAACTCACAGTTACATCAGATCTGACAAACTGCTCTTGTCGTGGTACTTGGGTTCTGAATATTTTTCATACAGGAAGGTCAACAAGAAAGATTGATGTCTATGCATTTGGAGTTTTATTAGAGATTATTTCAAGAAGGAAACCCATTAGCAGAGTTGAAATCTCTATCACCAATTCTCACCATCCTCGACCACAGCGGACAACTCGAGCAGATGGTCGCCTCTGCAACAGAACCGCTCGAGCTCCGCCACGCCGAGAGACCGCGTTGCGGTAGCTCCTTGGTTCCAACACCGAGCCTGCTGCTGCTTCCTGGACGCGGAGGAGTTCCGGCGCAGACGTGGCCGCGCCGGCGTCACGGAGCCGAGCTCTGCTGAGACCAGCGACGTATCCCTCGCAGCCGTCGTAGCGGCCAGCACTGTCTCCGGAGTGCTCGATGACGTCGAAGTCCAACCGCAGACTTGAGAAAGAACATGCTCGCGACGAGGTCTACGTCTTGATCTGTCGTCGCCGCCGCGGCAAGATCCGTCCCAGTGGCTTCCGGTGTAAGCCAACGCCTGCTGTTAACGGAACGAGGTATACGCCAACGGTGCCGCTAACTGAAACTGAGCGAAGATGGTCATAATGACACGTGTCATGCAGAGGAGGGGTCTCTCAGATGAGAGAAAAGGGAAGGTCTCTCAAAATTTGCCAGGGTGGCGATTTGGTGTTCAGATTGACTCCTACTATAGTGTCTGTTGTATAAGCCGTGTGTATCCATTTATGTAGAGGTTGATAGTGCTTTAATGATAGTTGTGTCAATTTGATCAGAGCAGGAGGGAAGGGGTGGGGCCAAACACCCCCTCATATTTGACCTGTTCGCTTGGCTGATAAGCCATGGCTGAAAGTACTGTTGGCTAATTTATTGTGAGAGAAAAATACTGTTCGTTAACTGACAAAGTACAGCTTAAAAGCCAAGCGAACAGGACAATTGTTGTTGAATAGGGTAATATACTTTAAGTCAGTTTAGATAACCTCTTATGCATATATTAAACTAAGCCATGTGGTGCACAGCTCTTGGTGGTTGATTATTAACATATGTTTTGGCTCCCGTTCGGCTGAGATTCTTGTCGCTGCAGCTGCAGCAGCAGGGATACACTTGGTTTCACTGTTGCTAGTACTGTCTGCAGCCATAGCCGTAGCCGCTGCGGCTGTACCGAACAACCCCTTTATCTTCGTATGCAAAATTGATTGTGTACTGTAGTTCTTGTTATCTTTGTTAAAGACCTAAGAGCAACTCTAAGAGATTATATAAAATTAGATTCTAAAACCATTGATTTAGTCATTGTCCAAAATAAAACTTCCTCTAAAAAAACAGAGTAATGCAACAGCCTTTCTAAATTCTCATCATCTATTTTTTAGAACTCACACGTCATGCTCTGATTGGCTCACTTCCCTGGTTTGTGTACTCCCACCATCTGCTTGCATGTACCTATCGCGAGCGCCATGCAGGAATAGGCATGGATAGGCCGATGGCGAGCCTCTACAGCTTGCTTTCTTTACCCAGCTAGAAACACGGGATAGCACTGGTTATTTTGGATCACAGGATAGAATAGCTGTTGGACTTCTAATTCTTGTGAAAATATCTAAAAATAGATTCCACACCATAAATAGCCACTTTGTTGGAGTTGCTCTAGGCCTCGTTCGACTGACCTTAAATCCGGCTTATTTGGCTTCTTTTTTTCATTCGGAACAGTATTTTTCACTCACAACATTTTAGACAGAACAGTATTTTTCAGCCAATTTCAGCCAAGTTTCAGACAAGCGAACGGGGCTAACGTGGAGCCAATGTGTGTGTATCTCTTCGTTGTTTGTGGTTATCTTGTCGGCAATAGTCTTCCTATCTCAAATTTTCTGGCTGTGTCCTTGTGTTTGATATAATTGTCTTGAAATTTAATAGAACGGCGTGGCTAGCGTCTGTACGTTCGGACGCTAGCCCCCGTCCGGACGTTCGCACCTGCCTGTCACGTTGTCCGCCCTCATTGTTGCGGCTCACCTCCTCCTGCGTGCCCGCCCCAGCGACGAGCACTCACCTGCATGCCCTTCTCCCTCAGTCTCGCATGCGCTAGCAGTGTCCTCTCTACTGCTTGCAGCCACAGGAGTGGCAGCAATTTTTCCTCGGCATGCACGGTTCCCACGTGAAATTAATAGAAAAATCGCATGCGGCACAGTGCGGACTTGTCGTATTCTGACAAGTGGACAAGCTAAACACCATGTCGCACCACCGTGTTGGCTCCTAATTCTCTCTCACTTGGTGTAATTTGGTTGTAAGTCCGCATGTCGCCGCGTGTGGACGGTCCGCCGTAATTTTTTTCCAAATTAATGTGCTTCATTCATGAAGAAATTGAACGTCGCACTACACCTGCATGCCGTGCACGTACGCATGCAGCTGCGTGCCACATGCCTGTTGCCTGTTGATGCGCATGCAGGTAGAGACCACCCACGTCGGCTTCGCTTCCCGTGCACGTGCGGACCGCTACACCCGTGGGACCGCCTCTGTATGTGCTCGCTTCCTATGCCTGTTAATGTTGCAACATGAATCACTTCATCTGAAACAGGTGAAACATTTACAACATATGCATATATCAACTATAACATCCAGATAAACACACTTGCAACATACGTATGAGTATGACAGATGAAACATTTGAATAGGCACTTGCAACATATTTCTGCAACATATGCAACATCCAGATAAAACACTTGTAATATAGGCCTGAAACAGGTGAAACATTTAGAACATACACTTGCAACATACATGTATAGCCACTCCAATATATGCAATATCCAGATAAAACACATGCAACATATGTTTGAAACAGCTAAAACATTTGAAACATAAGTGTATAGCCACTGCAACATATGCAACAAACATCTGAAAACACATGAAACATACGGTTGCAACATGTGCTCCTGTACTTGCTGCCGCCCAATGGAGGCTGGTTGACGCGGCGCCCGGGAGCGCAGCACGAGGCTCGTGCGGCGCATGGTGCGAGGCACAGGCGGGGTGCGAGGCACGAGGCGCGAGGCTCGGGGCGCGCGCGGCGCGTGGCGGGTCCGTTGCGACCGTGCGAGGCGCAAGGCACAGGGACGCCCGACGTGAGGCGGGTTCGTCCCGTCCGTACCGATACCCTGATAGGAGCATTGCCGTTAATAGAATCATTCCTTATCACAAAGTTGTGTTTCTTGGTAGTGTTGGGTAAGAGTTATGGTAGACATTCAACAAAGACCATATTCGTTCAACACCTTATTCAATCTTGACATCATGCTAGACATTGGCGTTTGCTGCATTTATTTTTTCTCATATACGAGCTGCTGAGAAGTGGTGCCAAAACAAGACTTTTATCAGCTCCCGTACTTAGCCTTGTAATCCTGCCACAGCTGCTGCACGTTCTTGCCCAGAATCTGCTGGAAATAGTCCTCGTCGTACCCGTCCTTTAGCTTGGCGTTGAGCAAGGCCACGAAGCCCGGCTCGAGCGAGTCACAGTAGTCCAGGAACCTTGCCGTGACGTCGTACCCCTGATCCCAACTGTCTCCCTGCCCCGGCTGCACCCAGTGCCCTGGTGCATACCCTGCCTTGAGCCGCACATAATCGGCGATGCCCTCGAAGATCCCCGGATGCGCCCCGTAGTCTTGCAACCCCCACTGCCACACGTGCACCACCTCGTGGTACAGCACCCCGGTCACCTAGCAGGCCACGGTGCACAGAGAGATGTTCATTTAGAAACAGAGACGTAGATTGGAGACAGAGTTGGGCGCTACATACCTCTGTCTTGACGTCGCCGGAGTCGTAGCCGCCGACGTACTGAGCGCTGAGGTGGATGTCGCTGCTGACGGTGAAGGCCACACCGCCGATGTCCTCGACGACGAGGGTGACCGCATCGACCGGCCTGCGGTCGGCGGGGCTGGGCTGGTTGAAGGTGTTCCAGACGAAGGTGGACGCGTCAGAGAGGACCTGCTTCGCATAGTCGAGGCCAACGGCCTGGTCGAACCTTTGGCCGCCGGTGGTATTAGACGCGGTGTTCGTCGCGTCGAACGTGACGGCGCCGGCCGTCGCCAGGACCAGGAGGGAAGCGACCGTGGCGACGTGAAGCTTCATTCTTGTGCCGGTATACACCTGCGCACTTCTTGCTCTGGGATTGGCAACTAATGGTCGCTTAAGCTACATTATATAGGGAATAGGGTGCATAAGTGCATGATATGGAGAGAAGATGAGATGAGACTTTTCCAAAGCAGAGAATTTTCCCTATCGATTGAAGAAGGAGATGTAGTGTTTGGTCAGGTCAAATGGACAGACTTGGACTTCGTGCAGATTGGTTGTGTTTTCTGGAAATTTGGTGGAAGTGGAAGCCCCGATACATGTCTCGTTTTTCTCCATAGACAGCGATATATAACCTTCTCTAGGACTATTGCCTATTGATTGATCGATACTTTATTTGTACACTTGCAGAAATGTGTCAACGAAGAACATTGACGTGTGCACGTACGTTTGTGCTGGTAATATTTGCTGTGTATCGATCTGGATAGCCTGACCATAAGCAGATGAACGAACACAAATTAAACAGCTCTGGCATACGCAATCACATTTTGTAAGCAAATCGATCTGGAGACGCAACTTTCGCAGCCTGTGCAAACGCGTCTTTCGTATCCGGCCATGAAGTCCGTGGACGCATGCACATGACACGGCGCCGTGCCCGTGGGGGCGCTGATCGAAGCTAGGCAGGTAGCCCATAGAACCCGAGTGACGGAGTAAGCGGGCGGCCGGCCGGCCGCCGACCGTGACGCCGCGGTGCCGCACGCCGCAGGGAATCAGTCAGGCTCCGGCGAAGCCACTTGGCCGGCTTCAGCAGCCCCCGCACGACCAGCGTATGCCTTCGCGTACGGCGCACGCACGACGACTCCGCGTAACACGTGTACGCGCGCGCGGACAGCTCGTGCGGAACCGCCGCATCCGATCGAACGACGGCGCGGACCGTGCGCGTGACGACAGCTGCTTAATTAGCACCGTCTCCGACTCGGTTTCTCGCCGCACAAGCCCTTCGATCGCGGCAGTTTGGTTTAGTACCGTACCGGAGCATTTCGCTCGACGCGACCAGCTTAACGACGTGCACGGCCAGCAACTCCTCACCGGGGGTGCTAGCCTCCGCCCATCGGACAGTAACTTCCGTCCAACGGTAATTCCCGCCGCTCTCAGCGCACCCCGATAGTTCCGGCTTGCCCACTCACGCGCGGAAGGGCACGTCCCACGTTTATAAAAATAATAATTTAGTGGTACTACTGTATTGCTTTACTGGAATCCGCTTCTCCACATCCATGTATGCTGCACAAAAGAAAAGTACGCTTAGAATAAGACTTACGTAAACATTTGCTAAGTTTAAAAAAAAGTCACCACCGCTAAACCAAACATCCAAATTAAATTCTGATTACATAGTCAGGTTTCTCGTAATAAATTTTTTAAAACAAGATCCCACATGAATATATTTAGATAAAATTTTATTAATTAACATTTATCTTATAAAAATAGAACATTATATTTTATTGAGAAGAGACAATGTTCTATGTTAACATAACAATGTTTCATCTTCGCAACAAAAATGTTCACGGTTTAGAAGAACAATATTCTAGTTTTAAGTTCGTGAATTGGTATTAAAATCTCTACAACTAAAACATTCATAACTATTCCATCCACAGGTGCGACACCAAAGCCGCTCCATGCGATCAGATTAGGAAGACAATGCGCACTCGCTCCATGCAATCAGCTTAATCCCCATAACAGCCGCAGCAAATCAGGAAGGCAAAAATCAATTCCCGTAACAATCGTGATCAATTCCACGATCACCCCACACCGCCAATCACGCAAGACCGCGTCGTCACCTACATGGCGACTTCCCTGGCACTCTGCAGTCGCACGACACCGCGTCCTCACCTCCTCGTGCCTGGCCCTCGCGCCACCTTCGCCATCGCACACGCCGTGCGCCGATCAACGCCATTGTTCAATCGCACCCTGTCCACGTCCTGCCTCGTACCAGCCCCGTCGACGCCCCGTCTTGTCCCCATCGCCTCGACGCCGCTGGAGCGCCCGTTGCCTCACCGCCCTGCCCGCTAACATTGGCGTACCCTGTCACGACCCCGAGCTAGCGACGAGCACCCACCAGGTACGTCACCAGGACCCTATATCCCCATCTGTCTTCTCTTCCAGCTACGCGAAATGAAACACCCAAACCCAAATCCTAACAGCAGCACGTGGGCGAAGACGACCACGACTAATCCTAGCAGAAGCACACGAACGACAACAACCAGCAGAGCCGTCGCCGAATCGCCCCGCTCAAGTCTCCGTGGTGCCGCGCCCTCCCCACTGACGCTGCTGCTTTGCGCCGCCGCGGGCTCAGGTCTCCACCGCCGCTGACACATGCCAGGCACGCGGAATTAGGACGCCTCTCCGATGTCCGTTGCAACAGATCGCTGATCTCGCCACCTGCAGTCCGCGGAGCCTGCAATAGATCGGTGATCATGGAGAGCGGCCGAGCTCCTTAGCGTGAACCACCAGCCCACCACTACCAGCTGGGCAGCACAAGCATCACGCCCGTGAACTCCTGCGTCGCACCGCCATTGCCAGGCGTGAGCTCGCTCCGGGGAACATCCATTCCCGGTCTTGCTCCTCCGCCCTTGGTAAGCTGCAGGTGAGCTTCCCCGCACCCCTGCGCTCCTTCTCCACGCACGCACGCACGCAAGGCACTCTGCGCAACCGCAAGCTCGCGTTGCTGGGAAATGGCCGCCGAGCACCGGTCGTGCTCTTTCCGTGCTCTACTTTGCACGAGCGTTCCTAGCTTGTTAGCTTGATGACATCAGGATGACATGTCCACACTTTCTTGTCGTTTCCTTCAGAAGAACAAAAGAGAAAATACATTGGAAATATAAGGATCCATACCCTTCAGCATGGACTCGGTCCATGGTGGACCGCTCACACACCACACCGCCAATCCATGGTTCATGGACCTGTCAGTGTTTTATTTTTTATATGGACATTCTAATAAACATCCTGATAGTTGTTGATAATTTTCTGAGGATGTTTATGAAACTAGAATAGTCTCCCTTTGCATGATAGGTTATCGAGACCATAATGTTTATAATTACATTTTTCATTACACCATGGTCAACTACTCATCTGGAAGCTAAATGTGCTCATTTTCTTTTTTTTCTATCTCTGCAATATGGCAATGCTTTAAATTTAGTGTATTTTGGATAGTTTAGAGTGAGCTCATTTGTTTGAATAAGAACATATGTCGTGCTATTTGGGTAATTTACAGTGTGTTTGTTTGGTTTTAGTCCATCCATTTTGGTTAGAATTTTGAGCTTTTTGCATTGTCTGATGATCGCCAATTCGGTCCTCATCCTTCCATGCAAACCACATTTCATTTCTTTTGCCCATAAAATTTGCTCGTACATAGGTATTGGGCATGAAAAAACTAAGTGGAACAAAACTTTTTTTCCTGAACATCTGTTGCTATTTACTTGCAAGTTCATAGAGTTGCCTTGATGATATGCAAATACAGATCGCTCGTGTCATCTTAATAGGTCCATTGGGATAGCGGCCACAAAGAGCACCTAATGATCGAAGCACGATAGAAAACTGGTTGTTGAGGCCTCCCCCTTAGGGAAAGGCTCCGATGACTACAATAAGTCTTCTCTGCTGAAATTGATTTTAATCCAAACTTGTGATCACTGGCAAATAGGTAGCTGTTAATATAACTCATCTGCCCCGGCTGTTGCAACCACCTCTAAAAACAAAAGATTCAGCCATGCTTTTCTATGGTTGGGGATGGGTAGGTTTGAAATCTATGGTGTTGTTTAGATCCTCAATTTTTTGTCAACTTTTTCAGGTACTAAAGTTACTTTGTTTCGAAGACAAGGAAGTTCGATTCTCTGCCCTAACCCTCATAAACCTAAGAAACAGAGGGAGTTTATACTGAAGATAAAAAATATTCTCGATATATGATCCATTCGTCTTTTGACCATTTTAATGTAATAACCGCACATATTTATACTTTTAGAGGTGGTCATGCGTTGCAATGGGAAAACAACTCACGCTCGTGTCTTCGCTACGCCTCGTTGTTTTTCATGATTGAACTATTAATGTACGATGATGGAAACTCCTGGCGATTTATAGACATACATAATATTTTGAAATAGAGAGTTGTGTTTTAAAGATAAATTTGAATTATGTGTTTCCAGTGTTAATTTTCTGGTGTTTCATTGACACTCGTGTAAAAGATGTTTGGCTACAAACTAAATGTTTGTAATGATACAACACACGTGTAAACTTAAAGTGCCATTGTCTTATTGTTTTCCCATTGCAACGCATGGGCATTTATCTAGTATACATAAAAATAAATAAATAAATATATAACATAAATAAAAAATAATAAAATATAGCATGGAAAACAATGATATCTTTAGTGTTCCGCCTTCACAATAAAAATATTAAGTATTCTAGTTTTAGGTTCATGAAATTGATATTATAATATACATAAAAATAAATACATAACATAAATAAAAAATAATAAAACCTAAAGGGGAAAAAAATAAAAACACGTAATAGAAAAAAATTAAAAGAACATCACATGGATACTTTTCAAACATCATAAAATATATTATAGAACATCACATGTGTACCCACGGTGAGATTGGTTTCCTCGGCGCCGCCAGCTTTGCATGCCCTCGTACGCGTACAGGCTGTTTGGGCCCCGTTCGGATGATATGGTTCTGGAGGAATCTGGATGGTTTGAAGGAATTATAGAGAAATTTGTGAGAGGAAAACACTAATCCAGATAAAAAAAAGAAGTGAATCAAAACAGGTTTAAGGACACGCGAACGGGCCCAAGGTTTCGTGGAACTCGAGCTCAGCCTGGTTGCGCGCGTGCAAAAGGACGCCCGGAGCCTGGCTCTCCAGGAACGCAGCTGAGGTCCGTTCCTCCTCGGCCTGGCTGGCTCAGCGCAACTCGCTCGCCGTGTGCTCTCTGACGCATGCAGCAGATAGATAGAAAGTCGTCCACCAAACAACTTCAGCGGTGGGACATGCTGGGTAGAAACGCGAACCAA